AGCCGCCCCCGCGCAAGGCCGCCTCGCTACTGGGTGGCCGCGTCGGGGCCGGGGGAGCGCGCAGGTATCCAGGGCGCCGAGATACACGGGGAGGGCACCCGAGAAGGGCAGGGGAGGTACCAGGAGCCGGACAGGGACATCTCCATCTCCTGAGCCCTTGGCCTCATTCTCTCCAGCTGGAGGCAGGGAGGCTGCGGGCCTCGGGTCTCCCATCCCACCCTTTCTTTATCCCCAGGACTGTCCGAATCTACAAGGGTAACAAGAGCTTCGGCTTCACGCTGCGCGGCCATGGGCCTGTATGGATTGAATCTGTCCTGCCTGGTGAGAAGAGGGCAACTGGTCTTGAGCCCTTAAGAGCTAGGGTGGGGTGAAGGATCTTAGTACTTTACCTGTGTGTGTGTAAAGATTAGATAGATAGATTTGTGTCTGTACTGGGGCTTGAACTCAGGGCCTGGACACTGTCCCTGAGCTGCTGCTGCTTTTTTTTGTCGGTTGTGGGGTTTGAACTCTGGGCCTGGGCGCTGTCCCTGCGCTCTTCAGCTCAAGGCGAGCTCTCTACCACTTGAGTCACAGCACCACTTCTGGTTTTCTAGTGGTTTATTGGAGATAAGAGTCTCATGGACTTTCCTGCCTGGGCTGGCTTTGAACCGCGATCCTCAGATCTCAGCCTCCTGAGTAGCTAGGATTACAGGCGTGAGCCACCAGTGCCCAGCTCCTTGAGCTTCTTTTGCTCAAGGCTAGCACTCTACCACTTGAGCCACAGCTGTACTTCCTGCTTTCTGTGGTTAATTAGAGATAAGAGTCTCTCAGACTTTTCTGCCTCAGCTTTCTGAGTAGCTAGGATTACAAGTGTGAGCCATCAGTGCCTGGCCTGGCAGATATATAGATAGGTGTATGTATGTATGTATGTGTATATATATATATATATATATACACACACACATATATATGTATATATATACTGCATATGTATATATACTATATATGTATATATAGCATATACAATATATTGTATATACAGTATATTTTACAGTATTGTAATATATACAATTTATGTGTCTGTCTGTCTATCTATCTATCTATATACAGGTTGTTCATCCATTCCGCCCTCCTAACACCTGCTCAGGTAGCAATCTCATGTAGCCTCTGTTTTCCAAGGGTCTCAAAGCCTACCTAGGAGGCTTCAGGTCAGAGGCCTGGGTTGAGGCATCTCTTCTCCAAGTTTACCCAAAGCCAAGTCAACCTTGTGGTTCATCCAGACTTTTTCTTGTCCACAGGAGAGGCTGGGGACATTTTCTTGGCTCTGAAGTCAGTCAGGACAGAGCCGGGGTCTGCCCACAACCCTCTATGTATGACCTGGGAACTTGTCAGAAAGCCTATGAGGCCCCCATGTAGTCTCTGCCCCTTCTCACACTCAGCTTGACCCTGCTAGATCCTGGGAACTGAGGTCTTGAAGAAGACAGAGCCTTCTTAAGGAGGAATCTTCTTTTACTGTCCCTATAGTGATTACAGAGGGAGGAAGCAGTACTCATCTTCAGAAACCTCTCCTGGCCCTAAATTGAACCCTCCATCCTTGAACCATCACACAGAGCATGGGATGGGCTCTGTCCTGCATCTTGCTCTCCCCCCCCCATTCTAGGAAGGCTACACTGGATTAGTCACCCTATGAGACCCCATACTTGTGGGGCTTAAACTCTGGGCCTGGGCGCTGTCCCTGAGCTTTTCAGCTTAAGGCTAGCGCTCTACCACTTGAGCCATAGTGCCAGTTTTCTGGTGGTTTATTGGAGATAAGAGTCTCAAAGACTTTCCTGTCTGGGCTGGCTTTGTACTGTAATGCTCAGCTCTCAGCCTTCTGAGTAGCTAGGATTACATGCATGAGCCACCAGTGCCCGGCAACCCTCTCCCTCTTTAGGGTGCCAGGCAACAGACTTCTCTCCATCCTACCTTCCCAGGAAGTCATCCCTGATCTCCTTCCTCTCCCCACAGGCCCAAGAGAGAACTCAAATCAGAGAGTGTTTTATTTAGGCATTTATCATTTCTCCTACTTGGTTCCAAATCAGGTTTAGCGTAATGACAACTTAAAGGCAGGAAAGAAAAATCCACATCCATAGGAGCCAACTTTCCAGATGAAAGTTACAACCTTTGGGAGCACCAGGGCAAAAATGAGAGTTAGCTAGCTGTTCCCAAGTGTAACAGGTGTTATTTTTAGTCATGTGTCAGAGTAATTGCCACTCCAAACTAGGTGGCATACCTCTAATGGTTCACGCATATAATCCAAGCTATTTCAGGTATTTGGGAAGTCAGAAAGAGGAGGATCATGGTCCAAGGCTAGCCCTAGCCAAGTTGGCACAAGACTGTCTGAAAAACTAAAGGCAAAAACAAAATGGGCTTATTTATCTGCCTAGAAAGTATAAATCCCTGTGTTCAGTCCTCAGTACTGGAAAAAAAAAAGAAAGAGAAAAAAAGAAAGAAAAAGAAAAGAAAAATCTGTATCTACATCTATCCTGATTGGTTGGTTTGCAAATGAAATGTATACTTAGAAATGAGTCTTTTGCCATCCTTAAATTGGCCCTTGGGGCCATACTGGGCCCACTAGGTTCAGGATGAGGCCTGCCCATCTGACTAGTATAGTCTTCTTTCTTCCAGGCAGCCCAGCTGACAATGCTGCTCTCAAGTCAGGTGACCGGATCCTCTTCCTCAATGGACTGGACATGAGGTCAGAGGCCACTGGGGACACCTGAGCTTAACGATGAGCCATCTCCCAATCCTCCTGCCTCTTGAGGCACCCCAACTGTGGTCCTGCTTGTTTCTGGACCCTTGATTCCCCAGCATCTCTCTCTTCAAGTAGGAACTCTTGAATCTCTCTGTCCATTAGGCTAAGACTTCAGTCCATCCTTCTAACTAGAATGTACCCATGCTGGAGAAACAGAATGGGAGGGGCCATTCATGACTTACTCTGGAGGGGGAGTTTTGGCCTGGTGATGAACAATAGATCCTTCCAGGCCAGAGGGTAGACACACACCAAGCTTCCCAATGCCCAGGGCTTCCCTTCTGAAGGTTACCAAGCAGGACAGGCAAGGCCCTGGCTAGTCCCCATCCAGCTGTGGACATTCTGTGGCCTAGTAGGGAAGGATGGGAGGACTCACCTGTCAGGGCTTACCTGTGTCATGTCTGTCTGGCAGGAACTGCTCTCATGACAAGGTGGTGTCTATGCTGCAGGGCAGTGGCGCAATGCCCACGCTGGTGGTGGAAGAAGGGATCGTCCCGTTTGCCAGTGGTGAGACCCTTATGCCATCACCTATACATGCATGATTTATAACTCCAGTGGGGGACCATGCTCTTCCCCCAAATCTACAGCTGCACTTCCCTGGGCTTCCCCTGGGTGGCGCTGTAGAGCCTACAATGCTCAGTGTTGAAACCTTACTCAGGGCTCTGCCTCTATCCCAGCCCCCAGCTGCAGGCAGTAGGTGTGTGTCCCCATGCATGACACACCTCAGCTGCCTGGGACTCTGGATGACCCATTTTTCCCTTGCCCGTGGTCTCCACAGACTCTGATTCCTTGGACTCCCCCAACCGGTCGTCAGCGCTCACGTCCCTGCAGTGGGTGGCGGAGATCCTGCCTTCCAGCATCCGGGTCCAAGGGAAGACCTTCAGTCAGCAACTGGAGCATCTGCTCACGCCCCCCGAACGCTATGGGGTCTGCCATGCCCTTGAGAGCTTCTTCCAGCACAGGTGGATGGACAGAACTGTGGTGGGCACCTGTCCTGGATGGGCCCTAAGTCTTAACCCAGGTTCACCATCCTGGTCTCCAGGCCTGGGCCTCCTCAGACTCCTACTCTTGGGGAAGTATTCAAGATTGCAGCAATTGGTACCAAGGGCCCAAGGTGGGGGTTGCTAGGAATGCCCTAAAACAAACCCTGACTGCTGACATGATTCACCATGTGACTGTGGACAAATCATAGTCTCTGTGGAGTGAAGCAGCCACAAATGTTTTGTGGACCCGCATGAGAGCCTCACTGTAGGGACTTGCCATGGGCCAGGCCCTTGGGATGGAAGTGGAAGTTTTTTGTTCTATTTTTTGTTTGTTTGTTTGGTTTTTTTTGGGGGGTGCTGTTTTGGGATTTTGTTTTTTGTCAGTCATGGGGCTTGAACTCTGGACCTGAACTCTAGCCCTGAGCTCTTCAGCTCAAGGCTAGTATTCTACCACTTCAGCCTCAGTGCCACTTTCAGTTTTCTGGTGGTTAATTGGAAACAAGAGTTTCACAGGGGCTGGAAAGGTGGCTCAGTGGTAGAGTGCTTGCCTTGCATGCATGAGGCCCTGAGTTCGATTCCTTAGGTATCACATAAGCAGAAAAAGCCAGAAGTGGCGCTGTGGCTCAAGTGGTAGAGTGCTAGTCTTGAGCTGAAGAGCTGAGGGATAGCACCCAGACCCAGAGTTCAGGCTCCAGGACTCAAAAAACAAAACAAAACAAAACAAAAAAACTCAGGGACTCTCCTGCCTGGGCTGCCTTTGAACCGCAATCCTCAGATCTCAGCCTCCTGAATAGGTAGGATTACAGGCATGAGCCACCAGCACCCAGTGGTTTTTTTTTTATTATTTTTTTTTTGTTTTTTTTCTCCTTATGCTGGTACTGGGGGTTGAACTCAAGGCCTCCCATTCTTACTAGCCTTTTTTGCTCAAGGCTGGTGCTCTATAACTTGACCCACACCTCCACTTCTGGGTTTCTACTAGTTCTTTGGATGATATGGATCTCAAAGACTTTTCTGTCCAGGCTGACTTTGGCCTCAATCTTCACTCAGATCCCAGCCTCCTGAGTAACCAGGATTATAGGCATAAGGGTATGAAGCCACTGGTGCCAGCGTGGGGTCTTTCTTTTTGGATCACAATGGTAGCAGGCTGTATTCTCCCCCTCCTTACCCCATGGGGTTATTAGCATGTTCTGTGCCAAGTCTCTCTTGAATCAATTCCCTTTTGTTTAAACAGTTATGTTAAACTATGATCCACATACCATATAATTCATCCTGTAAGCAGACAATTCAATATGCTGTGGTACAATCATCACTACAATCAATTTTAGAACTTCCTGATATCAAAAAGAAACCCTAAGCCAGGTACTGGTGGCTCACACCTGTAATCCTAGCTACTCAGGAAGCTGAGATCTGAGGATCGCGGTTCAAAGCCAGCCTGGGCAGGAAAGTCCATGAGATTCTTTTTTTTTTTGGGGGGGGGGTCCAGTCATGGGGCCTGAACTCAGGGCCTGGGCGCTGTCCCTCAGCTCTTCAGCTCAAGGCTAGCGCTCTACCATTTGAGCCACAGCGCCACTTCGGGCTTTTTTTTCTTTTTGCTTATGTGGTGCTGGGGAATCGAACCCAGGGCCTCAGGCATGCAAGGCAAGTGCTCTACCACTGAGCCAACTTCCCAGCCCTCCATGAAATTTTTATCTCCAGTTAACCACCAGAAAACCACAAGTGGTGCTGTGGCTCAAGTGGTAGAGTGCTCACCTTGAGCTGAAGAGCTGAGGGACAGCGCCCAGGCCCAGAGTTCAAGTCCCAGGACTGACAGAAAGAAACCCTAGCCAATGACTCACACTTGTAATCCTAGCTACTCGGAAGGCCGAGATCCAGAGAAACAGGTTTGAAGCCAGACCAGGAAGAAAAGTCTTCAAGATTGCATCTCCAAAATGCCTGACATCAAGCAACTACTTTGTGTATTGATAGCTTTTCCTATTCTGGTCTTTCATATAACTTGGAATCATATGATGTGTGGGCTTTTGTGTCTAGTCTTTTTGCACTTAGCATATGTGTGTATGTATGTATATATATGTACGTATATGCATTTTTTATGTCAGTATTGTGGCCTGAATTTGTGGCCTGGGTGCTGTCCCTGAGCTTATTTGCTCAAGGATAGCACTGTACCATGAGCCACAGCTCCACTTCTGGCTTTTTTGGTAGTTAATTAGAGATAAGAGTCACATGGACTTTTCCTGCCCAGTCTGTCTTTGAACTGGACTCCTCCTCAGATCTCAGCCTCCTGAGTAGCTGGGATTACAGGTGTGAGCCATTACTGCCTGGCTTGTATAAGTTATTTTAACATTCATAAATTTTGATGTGCACCTCACTTCTTTGTATTTTCGGTTGTATAGATTCGCCACATTTTATTGATCCATTGGTCCAGTGGTGGGCTGTTCCTCTTTTTCATCCCCGTTTGGCTGTCCCTGAACATTTTTCCTCAAAACTAGCACAATCATTAGACCCACAGCTCTACTTCCAGATTTTTTGGTAGTTAATTACAGCTAAGAGTCTCACAGGCTTTCCTGCCCGGGTTGGCTTCAAACTGAGATTCTCCAATCTCAGCCTCCTAAATAGCTAGGATTTCAGGCATGAGCCACCAGCACACCATGAGAGGTGCTATTTTTTTTTCTTCAGTTGTAGGGCTTGAACTCAGGGCCTGTGTGCTGTCCCTGAGCCTCTTGGTACTCAAGGCTAGCACTCTACCAATTGAGCCACAGCGCCACTTCTGGTTTTTGAGTGGTTAATTGGAGATAAGAATCTCACAGGGACTTTTCTGCACTGTCTGGCTTTGAACTGGGATCCCCAGACCTCAGCCTCTTGAGTAACTAGGATAACAGGCATTAGCCACCGGCACCCAGCAGTAGATGCTGTTTTTGCCCCTACTTTTCAGAAACTGACCCAGAGAAGTTAAATAACTTGAAAAAGGTTCCTTAGCTCGTAAGTGGCAGAGGAGGTTGGAATATGAGCAGCCTGTGCCTTGGATTCTGCCGGCTCTGTCTTTTGAGGTTGGGGGTCCTGGCATGAGTTGAATTCTGTGGCTTGGAAGTGCCATCCTTGCTCACCACTAGGAGGAGCCAATGAGTAACAAATCCCTCATCCTGTGCTCTCTCCTAGGAATATAGACACCCTCATCGTTGATGTCTACCCTGTGCTGGACACACCTGCCAAGCAGGTGCTTTGGCAATTCATCTATCAGTTACTGACCTATGAAGAACAGGAACTCTGTCAGGAGAAGATTGCATGCTTCCTGGGATACACAGCTATGACAGGTAAGCATCTGCCCAGTCTACCAGATGAACAGACACCTGTTCTTCCTTATAAGTTGAACAACTGCTGCTCTAAGCCCCACCCACTCATATATGCCTGAGTGCCAAGCAAACGCATGCTCCCACCTTGACTTTCATGCAGTATATCCACATTCCTCGGGACTTTGGACACCCTGCCTAACTGCCTAGGGTCCCAGATTGGACATGCACAAAGTGGGAAGGATCTCAACTGTCCTTTGATCCCTAGGAAGAAGAACTTTGCACCCAGATCAAGAAATGGGTAGCTACGTGTCTGTGTCTCACACCTGTAATCCTAGCTACCAGGCGACTGAGATCTGAGGGTTGAGATTCAAAGCCAGCCATGGCAGATAAGTCTTTGAGACTCCATCTTCAAAATAACCAATAAAAGGCCAGATTAGAAGCTAGGAGCTGGGAGCTCATGCCTGAATCCTAGCTACTCAGGAGGCTGAGGTATAAAGATCTGCGGTCTAAAGCCAGCCCAGGCAGGAAAGTCCATGAGCCTCTTCAATAAATTACCAAAAAAGCCAAATGGGATTGCTGTGGTGCACTAGCCTTGAGCAAAAAAAAAAAAAAAATCAGGGAGCTGGGAGACAGTGGCTCATGCCGTAATCCTAGCTACTCAGAAAGCTGTGATCTGATGATCCAAGTTCAAAGCTAGCTGGGGCAGAAAAGTCCCTGTGAGAATTTTTTTTTTTTGGGTCCAGTCGTGGGGCCTTAACTCTGGGCCTGGGCGCTGTCCCTCAGCTCTTCAGCTCAAGGCTAACTCTACCACTTGAGCCACAGAGCCACTTCCGGCTTTTTTCTTTTTGCTTATGTGGTGCTGAGGAATTGAACCCAGAGCCTCAGGCATGCAAGGCCAGCGCTCTACCACTGAGCCACCTTCCCAGCCCCTCTCTGTGAGATTTTTATCTCCAATTAACCACATAAAAACCAGAAGTGGAGCTGTAGCTCAACGTGGTAGAGTGCTAGCCTTGAGCCAAAGGGAGTAGGGACAGCACCCACGCCCTGAGTTCAAGACCCAGAAGTGGCACAACACATGAAAATCAAAAGCCAGGCTAGAAGCATGGCTCAAATGATAGAGTGCCAAATGAACAAGCAAGCAGAGCAAGCATGAAGCCTTGAGTTCAAGCCTCAGGGCTTCCCCTAGACATTTGCCCTATAGACAAACAGAGAAGGCTCCCTGGCACAAATGTCTACCTTCGCTGTCCTTGCTTGTGGAGGCTGAACATGGGCCTCTGTCTCCCCCTGCATATTCTAATAGCAGAGCCTGAGTCTGACCTAGATCTGGAGCCAGAACCCACGCCAGAGCCCACACCAGAGCCCCAGCCACGGAGCTCCCTGAGGGCCTCCTCCATGTGCCGCCGCAGTCTCCGCTCCCAGGGCCTGGAAGCCAGCCTCAGCTGCGGTAAGCCCCCCCAGATGGAAAGGCTGGGACTGGGTGATCCCTTTCTACATTGGGTGAGATGAGCACTCACAGAGACTGGAAGGCAACGCTCCCCCCTGGAGCTGCAAGGTCTGAGCCTGAGAGCTCAGATAGGGTCTCTAGATCTCCATGACAACCTCCCAGCAGGTCCCAGTGAATGCCCAGAGCTGCCTCTTCCTCTGATCCCAGGAGAGCGCCAGGCAGGTGATGGCACCTCCCTCCCTGAGACCCCCAATCCCAAGATGGTAAGACTTTGTCTCTGCCTTACAGGGTGGGAGGGGGTCAGAGGAGGGTGGGAAATGGGTGGCCCACAGGACACGACCCAGGAGACCCCAGACCAACACACCTCAGTGGCTACTTCTGGTGGGGGCAGACTGCCATACACAGCCTCTGAAGCCCTTTTGGGGTCCTGGGGGGGGGCAGTGGGAATGGGCTAGCCTCACCCCCACTATCCTTACCTCAGATGTCAGCCGTCTATGCAGAGCTTGAGTCTCGACTAAACAGCAGCTTCAAAGGAAAGATGGGGACTGTGTCCACATCCCGGGCCTCTCCGCCAGGCCCCAGCCTGACCAGCACAGCAGGTAGGGGGGCTCAGCTAGCCTCATGTCCAGGATGGGTGCCTTGACTGGATATCTGTCTGGGTGTTGTCCTCACTCCCAGGTACACACTCTTGTGGGGAATTCTAGAATCCTCTGGACATTGCGACATGAAGGTCAGGCTTGCTTTAATCCTTCCTTCGCTCCTATCGTCCTCAGCTCCACTGGGCATCTGGAAAAGCAGAGGACTTCTTCCTAAGAAGTCCTAAAGTCAGCACATGGATTTTGCATAAAACATGGTTTCTCTGGGGTTAGAAGGCAGGACTATAACCTTAGCTACTTAGGAGGCACGGAGAAGAAGTTTGAAGTTTTAAGCCAGCCCAGGCAAAAGGTAGCAAGACTCTTATCTCAGAACAAGTCAGGCTGGGAAGGTGGTTCAGTGGTAGAGTGCTTGCCTGGCATGCATAAGGCCCTGGGTTTGATTCCTCACCACCACATAAGCAGAAAAAGCCGGAAGTGGTGCTGTGGCTCAAGTGGTAGAGCGCTAGCCTTGAGCTGAAGAGCTGAGGGACAGTGCCCAGGCCCAGAATTTAGGCCCCAAAACCAACAACAACAACAACAAAAATTCAGGCATAAAGGTACAAGCCTGTGGTAGCTACTTGGGAAGTAGAGGTAGGAGGAGCATGGTCTGGGCTAAAGTGAGAGACCCTACCTTAAAAAATAAACAATGGCAGAGGGAAGGGATAGTAGGAGAAAAACAAAGGAGGTGGTAACAGTGTTCAACAAGAAAGGTACTCATTATCTTACACATGTAACTGTAACCCCTCTGTATAGCATCTTTACAATAACATTCAATTTAAAAAAATAAAGCAAAAGGACTAGAGGGGTGTGGCTCAAAAGTGCTTGCTAGGCAAGTGCAAGGCCCTGAGTTCAATCCTCAGTACTGCACAAAAGAAGTGGAGACAGAACTCCTAGGAGATGTGTCTGTTTGCCCAAAACTTGCTGGGTAGAGGAAATGTCTCATGACCCTAAAATGGGGCCTAGAAGATGCTTTTTAAAGCTATACCACTGGTTTGTAATCCTAGCTACTCAGAAGGCTGAGAACTGAGGAGTATAGTTCAAAGCCAGCCCAGGCAGGCAAATCTGAGCGACTCATATCTCCAATTAACCAGCAAAATGCCAGAAGTGGAGATGTAGTTCAAGTGGTAGGTTGCTAGCCTTGAGTGAAAAAAAGCCAAGCAAGAGCTCAAGGCTCAGGTTGGAGACATGGCTCAGGTGGTAGAGCACCATCCACTGAGCAAAAGCAAGCATCAGCTAGTGAGTTTAAGTCCCAGTCTTAAACAAGAAACAAAAACCACAAGACTCTGAGTTCAAGACCAAGTACCAACACACAAGAACAGAAAAAGTAGCCAGGGTAATTCATACCTGTCATCCTAACTCCTCAGGAGGCTGAGATCTGAGGATTGCAATTCAAAGCCAGCTCAAGCAGAAAAGTGAGACTCTCATCTCCAATTAACTACCTGAAAAACTAGAAGTGGAACTGTGGTTCAAAGCAAAAAAAGGAACAGCACCCAGGCCCTGAGTTTAAGCCCCATGATGCCCCCCCACACACAAAAAAAGTGTTTTTCAGCCCTTCAAGTTGTGTTTGGTGGGTGCTAGATGGGACCCCAAGGAACTTTTTCTGGGCTCAATTGGGGTTCCCTGCAATCCTGCCTCTAGTCATCCTTCCTTATGGAAGAAGCTGGGGAGCAAGTCAAGGTCTCCCAGTTCTGTACCTAGACAGAGATCAGGGACACACAGCCCTCAGGGGCCTCCCCTCCTGCTTGCACATGGAATCAGATGCTGGCTGAAAGTGGTCCCCTTGCACTGTCCTTCACCCAGGACCCAGGACTCTATCCACCATCTCATGGCCAAGCGAGCGGCTTCTGTCTTCCCCCTGCTACGACCCACTGTGCACTGGAGGCCTGGCATCCCCCAGCAGCTCCGAGTCTCACCCTTACGCCAGCCTGGACAGCAGCAGAGCACCCTCCCCACAGCCAAGCCCTGGGCCAGTCCACCCGGACAGTCCCCCGAGCCCTGACCCTGCACGATCGTCCAGCCGCAGGAAGCTCTTCACCTTCTCGCGGCCCATGCGTAGCCGGGATACCGACCGCTTTCTGGATGTGCTGAGCGAGCAGCTGGGTCCCCGGGTCACGATTGTGGATGACTTCCTGACCCCTGAGAATGACTATGAGGAGGTGGGTATGGAGGTGGGGAGGGGACAAGCAGGTGGGGAGGGAGGCAAGGTGGGGAGCACTGCAAAGGGAACAGCAGCAGCCCCAGGTCCCTTCCCATGCCTTCCTCAGACCGACCCTTCACATGTCTGTCCTAGAGTATATCTCAGGCAACCCCACTCCCTAGCCAGAGATATCCCACTCTGCTCCAAGCAACCCTACATTTTCTCAGGCCAGCCTCCCAGCCTCAGCAAACCCACAGGACTGTCCCAAGGCTGTCTGACCCAGGCTATCCCACTCGCCCGCCTTGTTCTGGTCTGTCTGGGAACATAGCCTTCCTCTTGTTCTCCATGGACCAGATGAGTTTCCATGACGACCAGGGCAGCTTTGTGACCAACGAACGGAGCAGCGCCAGCGACTGTATCAGCAGCAGCGAGGAAGGCAGCTCCCTGACCTACTCCTCCATCTCTGACCACATCCCTCCACCCCCGCTCAGCCCCCCACCGCCACCACCCCTGCCTTTCCATGACCCCAAGCCCAGCTCCCGTGCCTCTGATGGTCCCCGGGGACCCTCCCAGGCACTGGCCAAACCTCTCACCCAACACAATCACCCAATCCCACCACCTCCCCCACCACCTCTGCCCCCACCTGTTCCCTGTGCACCTCCCATGCTGTCTCGAGGCCTGGGTCACAGACGAAGTGAGACCAGCCACATGAGTGTCAAGCGCTTGCGGTGGGAGCAGGTGGAGAATTCAGAAGGCACCATCTGGGGTCAGGTAGGTGACATGGGGCCCCCGGTGCTTCACAGAGGTAGGTGGCCCAGGCAGCCAAGATAAGACACACCCTCCCAGTCTTTTTCTGCGTGAGCTAGGCCATTCCTTGGTCATCTCTGCCCTGAACAGGGGAAAGGAAGCCCATATCAAGGACATGCCCACCTTTGGGGATGACAGTGCACCCATGGAAGTCAGTCTGTGTTCCTAAGCCAAAGTCATACTGAGGGCATCTAGAAATGCCATCTATCCAGCTGGAGGCTGGGCTAGTTCTCAGACCTTCTTAAAAGGGGGGATGGTGTTGAGCATGGTAACTCATGCCTGTGATTCCTGATACTCGGAGGCAGAGGTAGAATGATCATGATTTGAGGCCACTTGGGAAGTTAGTAGGTAATCCTATCTTTAAAACAAAGCAAATGAGCGGAGCGCCTGTAGCTCATGCCTGTAATCCTAACTACTAAGGAGGCTGAGATCTGAGGATTGTGGTTCAAAGCCATCCCAGGCAACAAAATCTGTGAGTCTCTTATCTCCAATAAAACCACCAGAAAACCAGAAGTGGCGCTGTGACTCAAGTGGTAGAGCACTAGCCTTAAGCTGAAGAGCTGAGGACAGTGCCCAGGCCCAGAGTTCAAGCCCCATGACTGACAACAACAACAAAAAAAAAAAACCCAAAACACAAAAACAGCAAAGGAAATGGCCGGGCACTGGTGGCTCACCTCTGGAATCCTAGCTACTCAGGAGGCTGAGATCTGAGGATCACAGTTGGAAGGCAGCCAGGGCAAGAAAATACATGAGTCTCTTCTCTCCAATAAACTACTCAGAAAAAAACCAAAACTGTAAGTGGTGCTGTGGCTCAAGTGGTAGAGTACTAGCCTTGAGCAAAAGAACCTCAGGGATAGCACCCAAGCCCAGAGTTTAAGCCCCAGGACCTGAGCCAAAAAAAAAAAAAAGGCAAAAAGGCTGGGGATGTGGCTCAAGGAGGAAAACAAACTTGAGGCCCAGACTTCAGTCGTTAGTACTGGAAGAGGGGGAAAAAAAAAAGACATCTTGTAGCCAGATGTGATAGTACACACTTGTAATTCCAACATTCAGGAGGCCAAGCTAGGAAGATCATGAGTCTTAAGACAGTTTAAGCTACAATACTAAGTCCCTGATTCAAAAAAAAAAATCAAGCCAGGCATTGGTGGCTCACACCTGTAACTCTAGCTACTCAGGAGGCTGAGATCTGAGGATCATGGTTCTGTGAGACTCTTATCTCCAATAAGCCACCAGAAAACCAGAAGTGGTGCTGTGGCTCAAGTGGTAGAGTTCTAGCCTTGAGCTGAAGAGCTGAGGGACAGTGTCCAGGCCCAGAGTTCAAGCCCCATGATGACCAAAAAAAAAAAATCAGGGGCTGGGAAGGTGGCTCAGTGGTAGAGCGCTAGCCTTGAGCTGAAGAGCTGAGGGACAGCGCCCAGGCCCAGAGTTCAGGCCCCACTACCGGACCCAAAAAAAAAAAAATCAAACCAAGCTGGATGCTGATGGCTCATGCCTGTATTCCTAGTTACAAAGGAAGCTCAGATCTGAGGATCTTGGTTCAAAGTCAGCCTAGGTAGAAAAGTCCACAAGACTCTATCTCCAATTATCCAGCAAAATGCCGGTGTGGAGGTATGGCTCCAACAGTATAGTACCAGCTGTGAGTACCAAAGCCAAGTGAGAGCATGAGGCCCTAAGTTCAAGCCCCAGTACTCCATCCTTCCACTTCCATGCTTGAATCTCCTCCTGAGCATCACTGTCAATATATACTTGAACACCTTCAGTGATGGAGCACTCACTACCTGTTGAGGCCTCACTGGACAATCTTTTTATGTACTGGGGCTTGAACTCAGGGCTTCAAGCTCTTGCTAGCCCTGTATCACTTGAGCCACACCTCTACTTCCACTTGTTGTTGTTTTGGAGTGTGTGTGTGTGTGTGTGTGTGTGTGTGTGTGTGTGTGTGTCCTGGGCACTGCCCCCAAGCTTTTGTGTTCAAAACTAGTGCTCTACCATTTAAACACAACTCCCCTTCCAGTTTTTTGCTGATTAATTGTAGATTGGAGTGTCTTGGGCTTTTCTACTGGGTTGGCTTGGAATCTTGATCCTCAGATCTCACCCCCTTGAGTAAGTAGGATTACAGACATGAGCCACTGGCATGTGGCTTGAATGTCTATACAGTACTACTGACTGAAATGGAAGACAACTCCTCACCTGATAACTTGGATGATTTAGCTGCTGCAGTCTCCTGCTGCTCTTGGATTCATCCCCAAGCCTATTGGATCTTTCCCTCTGAGAATGGGTGTGGTCAGGAAGGTCAGTCCAGCTGTGAACATGTCTCCTACTTTGAACTTTCCCATGCTCCCTTGCAGCTTGGGGAGGACTCTGATTATGATAAACTGAGTGACATGGTGAAATACCTTGACCTGGAACTCCACTTTGGCACCCAGAAACCTGCAAGTGAGTGGCCTGATGGCCTGGGGGGGAGGGGGGAAGCCCTATCTCCTGCCTTCTGTGTTGTCATCAGAGACTCTACCCTAAGGTCTGATGGACTGTCATTTATCCAATGTATCTAAAAACTTTCAAGCCATGGGTTAGTTTCCCCCCACACCCCATATCAAAGTAAAGATAATAATAGTTGCCATTTACTATATACTCACCAAATTCCAGGTACTCTGACTTCTATGTGAATCCCTTGACAACACTACCAAGTACATCAAACAATCACCTCCACTTTCTAAGGAGGAAGCAGAGAGGCTAGGTAATTTGCTCTAAGTCACACAGCCCAGAATAGGGTAAAATGGAACATCTGTTCTAGCCTCCCTCTTCCACAGTCCCTTTCTGAAAATCTCCTGGTAATGAGGGGTTAGGTGAGACTCCAAGCAGCCAGAGTCCTGGTTACCTATGGCAGGTGGTCCCAGGATGGAGAAGAAAGAGGAACTATGTGAAGTGTTGAGAGATGTGACTTTTCATTGCTCTGCTAGCTTAGTCCAGACAGGCCAGAGGAGAGAGTGCAATTGGGGGAGGGGGAGGGACATATGTCACAGGCCAAGTGCATTGGACTGAACCTGGGAATGAGGAGAGTAGGGATGCTTGGAGCTGATTTAGTCAAGGTGGTGCCTGCGGAGAGGGGTCTGCTGAGGTTGAATGTGTGGTCATACTTCTCCTGGTAGACGCAGCCCTACCCACCTTCAGCCCCTATTAAGTTATCCATTTTCTCTTTCAGAGCCAGTTCCCCGGCCTGAACCCTTCAGGAAGAAGGAAGTGGTAGAGATCCTGTCCCACAAGAAGGCCTACAACACCTGTAAGGGGCCAGAGACCCCTGGGGATTCTAAAGGTGGACAGTGGCCTTCCTTCTGGGTCACAGTCTTAGGCAAGGGCCCAGGCCCTCGCCACCCGGTTAGCTGAAGGAAAGCTGCCAGGTCCTACAGCTAATAAGATCCCAGCTGGATGCAGGTGCCAGACTTGGTATCATGCTTTATTGGCCAATCCCTCAATTCTCGTCTTGCCTCTAACCACGTTCTCTACTCTGCCTCTCAGACCCTGCCCCAGTTCCCTGTTTTGCACTCACGGGTTTCTGTCCTCGAAGACCCGTTCCTCACTGTTTAATCTGCACTCAAAGACCCTTTCCATCAGTGGAACCAAACAGGCTCCGTCCACTAAGAGGCTTCTCTCAGGCCCCGCCCACTTCCTAATCCCAGGCCCATCCAATAGTTTGTGGTCCAATTTTATAGGTCCGCCCATTCTTCGGGCTCCGCCCCTAGCTCATCCTCCTGACCTCGCCCACCTCGAGTTAATCACCACTACCATCACCTCTCCACCCCCGGCTCCGCCCAATAGCATGTGGCCAATCTTGATGCCCCACCCCCGTTCCTAGTCCTGCCCCAACCCCGCCCACCAAGAACCGTGCCCCAACTTACCTTCACGACGCAGCTCACCTCATTCCTCAGTCTCCACCCAATAGAGTGCTTGCTAATCTTGAAGCCCCGCCTCACGCGCCTGGCCCCGCCCCGCCTGGCCCCGCCCCCAAGCTCTTCCTCGCGGCTTCACCCTCAGCCATCCTCCTGGCGCACCTGAAGCTGAGCCCCGCGGAGCTGCGGCAGGTGCTCATGAGCATGGAGCCCCGACGCCTGGAGCCCGCGCACTTGGCACAGCTGCTGCTCTTCGCACCCGACGCCGACGAGGAGCAGCGCTACCAGGCTTTCCGCGAGGCGCCCGGCCGCCTCAGTGAGCCTGACCAGTTCGTCCTGCAGGTTCCTCAGCCGCGTCCTCCACCCCCAAGGCCAAGGCCCGTCTCCCTTAGGGCTCCCGCTGTAGCTGGGGCGTGGGGCCTGCTTCTGCCTCTCTGACCCAGTTTGACTTCTCAAAGGCCATTTCCCCCCTGAGGTCAATGGCACATCAGTGTCTCTAAGGAGCCTGCTTACTTTCCCCTACTCGACTCAAGCTGAGAGCTGGCCCTTCCCCTAAGCTTTGGTGGGGCAGAGGGTCCCCTGGTGGGAGATTGATGAATCCCCACCCTGCTTTCGTGCCAGATGCTGTCTGTTCCCGAATACAAGACCCGCCTGCGCAGCCTTCACTTCCAGGCCACCCTCCAAGAGAAGACCGAGGAGATCCGAGGCAGCCTCGAGTGCTTACGACAGGCATCCCTGGAGCTCAAAAACAGCCGGAAACTCGCCAAGATATTAGAGGTCAGGAGACATCCCCTTCCTGACAGCCTAACCTTCTGTCCTCTGGTACTTGCCACCTGAGCACAGGTGGGTGGGTACTTGGGCACCATCAGCCCAAGTATTTTTTCCCCACAGTTTGTCTTGGCCATGGGCAACTATCTCAACGATGGACAACCCAAGACCAACAAGACCACCGGCTTCAAGATTAACTTTCTAACGGAGGTGAGGGTCAGGCAGCAGTAATTTGCCATACCTCCTAGGCTAGGAAGGCAAACCTGAGTTGTGACAGAGGGGAGGAGAGAACATGAGCCAGGAAGAGATTTAAGCAAGGCACTGGTGGCTCTCACCTCTTATCCTAGCTATTCAGAAGGATGAGACATGGGGGATCATGATTCAAAGCAAGCCTGGGCAGAAGAGTCCAGGAGATTCCAACAATTAACCAACAAAATGCTGGTCTGGAGGTGTGGCACAATGGTGGAGTATCAGCTGTGAGCAAGAAAGCTGAGCAAGAATTCAAGCCCCATCCCAGCAAAAGAAAATGGACCTAGAAACATTGTAGATTTATTCAAGATTTGAATAACTACTTAATAACAATAATATTTTTTTTTAAAATAGAGGGGCTGGGAATGTAACCTCCTGGTAGAGTGCTTGCTTAGCATGCATGAAGCCTTGGGTTCCATTCCTTAGTACCACATAAACAGACAAAGCTGGAAGTGGCACTGTGGCTCAAGTGGTAGAATGATAGCCTTGTACAAAAGAAGCTCAGAGACAGTGCCCAGGTCCTGAGTTCAAGCCCCAGGACAGGCAAAAAAAAAAAATCCAACATAGAGAATTAAGGCCAACCATATAGGGAGGAAAAGTTGAGGCCATGTTCCCAGGCATCTGATGAGTCCTGAAGGAAGATGTGTTTTGGGTCACTTGCAGCTGAACTCCACCAAGACAGTGGATGGGAAGTCCACCTTCCTGCACATCCTTGCCAAATCGCTGAGCCAGCACTTCCCAGAACTCCTGGGCTTTGCTCAGGACCTGCCCACTGTGCCTCTAGCAGCCAAAGGTAGGCTGGGTGCAAGACTAGGGAAGCAGATGCTTGCTGTCCTGGCCTTAAATGTGTCCTAATGAGGCTTCCATCCTCTTCCTTACAGTGAACCAACGGGCCCTGACTGGTGACCTGGCTGACCTCCATGGCACCATAAGTGAGATACAGATGGCCTGCCAGAACATGTCTCCATCTAGTGAGGACAGGTTTGCTGTGGTCATGACTGTATCCTCTGAACCAAAGAGAGACTTCCAGAGCCTCATTGAGCCAATACTGCAGCTTGTACAAAATGTTCCTTGCTCCATCCCCTTTCATTTCACATAATACCTCAATGTTTGCTAATGTGGAAATCAAACTATTCAGATGAGGCCCCTTCATTCTAGCATCCATCAGTCCAGGGGTGCCCGCCTGCTTATATAGACTTGGAAATCTCCAGAGCAATGATAGAAGATCACTCTACAGAGGCACTTGAGCTGGTCCATCCAACAGGCTGAGGCCAAGATCTTGACTTAGTAGCTTACCAGCTATGGGATTTCAGCCATTCCACTTATACCTCTTTGAGCCCAGTCTTCTCATTAGTGCAGAGTAGTCATGAGAATTCCATATAGAATGGCTCATGGCCATCTCATATTGTAAAATTCATTCAGTCCATTTCCAAGAGTTCTCAAAGTCTCAACAATTCCAACATTGGTCAAGTGTCTAAATCTGGAATCTCTATGAAACCCCAGGGCATTCTTGTAGCTGTGAAACCCTGTAAAGTCAAAAAGAAGTTATAAGCCAGGCACAAGTGGCTTACGCCTGTAATCCTAGCAACTCAGGAGGCTGTGATCTGAGGATTGTGGCTCAAAGCCAGCACAGGCAGGAAAGTTTGTGAGACTCGTATCTCCAATTAACCACTAGAAAACAGGAAGTGGCACTGTGGATCAAGTGGTAGAGTGCTAACTTTGAGCTGAATTACTGAGGGACAGTGCCCAGGTCCAGAGCTCAAGCCCCACGATCGACAAACAAAAGAAGCTACATACTCTCACCATACAATAGCACAAAAGTCAACCTTTCCACTCTTGAAGGGAAAAATGCAGAACTAGAAAAGAAGAATAGTACCAAAGCAAAACCAAACACAGTAAGGCAGACATCATATCCTGTAGCTCTATCTATGGCATCCAGGGTAGCTGGTGGCAGACAGCAAGTAGAAAGACAAGAAGGGACCAAAGGCAACATACCCCTAGGGACCCACCCTTGTGACCTATTTCCTCCATTTCCTAAAGTTTCCATAACCCTTCAAAATAGTGTCACCAGCCGGGAACACTTCAAGTTATCTGATTTGCTCATAGTTGGAGCTTCACCACTTGAACCATACCAGTCCTGCTTTTTGCTAGTTAGTTGGAGATGGAGACTAAAAATTTTTCCTGCCTTTTCTGACTTTTTGTGTTGAACAAATTATACATTTCCAGGACTTCCTCCTGTCCTAAGTTCTGGTAATACATAGAGAAACCAAGCTTGATCTTGGAGGACAGAAAATGTACCTGTGAAAGAACTTCAGGCTTGGCACCGGTGGCTTGCACCTGTAATCCTAGCTACTCAGGAGATCTGAGGATCACAGTCAAAGCCAGCCTAGGCAAGAAAGTACACAAGACTCTTATCTCCGATAAATGACTCAGAAAAAGCCAGAAGTGGTGCTGTAGCTCAAGTGGTAGAGCACAAAGAGTCTCAGGGACAATGCCCAGGCCCTGAGTTCAAGCCCCAGGACTGGCCAAAAAAAAAAGGGGGGGGAAGGAAGGGAGAAAAGAAGGAAGGAAGGAAGAGAGACATAGAGAAAGGAAGAAAATAAGAGCAAGCATGGAGTCAGATATGGTGCTATACAACTGTAACCCCAATTACTAGAGAGACATATCCCTGCCTGGGACTGACTTCCAAGTTCCAAGGTGAGTTTAGTGGGCAGGGGTGGGCCTGTAAGGCCTCAGGCAAAGCAGGAAGGGAGAGCCCAGACTGGGGTCCCAGCCCGGCAGGAGAGGATCAGTAGTCATCTAGTGGTGGCTGTTTCCTTAACCTATGCCCTGCTCTAGTCCTTCCTGGAGACAGCCCAGCCTGCATTGCGGGCCCTGGATGGGCTTCAGCGCGAAGCTATGGAGGAGCTGGGCAAGGCACTGGCCTTCTTTGGGGAAGATTCCAAAGCCACGACATCAGAGGCCTTCTTTGGCATCTTTGCTGAGTTCATGAGCAAGTTCGAGGTGAGCCAAGGTGATGGCTGAAGGTGCCCCCTAGAGAAGGTGGGACCCAATATCATACGAGGGTTTTGTCCCCTTTTCTGGTCATCAAGCTGAGCTCTGGGGGTGGGAGGCAGGGAGGGTGGCAAAGCCCTGACCACCCCCTTCCATTATGCACCCACCAGAGAGCGCTCAGCGACCTGCAGGCTGGCGAGGGCCCTCGCAGCTCCGGAATGACTTCACCCCTAGCCTGGTGACAGCTACCATGAAGAATCCTCTGCATGGAGGCAGACACAGGAGCCGGCCCCACCCCAGGGCAGCCAGGATGCTGTGGAGGTCGAGGTCAAGGGCACAGATTGTACAGCAAAGGGAGGTGGGGGGGAGCCTGAGCGCAGCCTGTCTACCTCAACCCCAGCCTCCTCCACCCATCCTCCACCCAGGCCCGGACTACAGGGCAGCAGGAATGGTGGCAGCCAAGCCCACTCTATGCTTTCCTGGGCTTCCTGAATCTTCTTTCTCTCTGTGGAGCCATTAAATAAAGTGTTGCTGTGCACCCTGTGTGGGTGGATTGCAAAGCAGGGCAATGTCTGCTGTCTGGCAAGAGGATCATTGGCACTAAGGATATTCCCATGGACCTCAATGAAGACAGATACCATGGGTTTGTCCCACTAAGCCAATAATCAGAAGGCCTGGGAGGGGCTGCTTACCCCCTTAAAGGGCAGTACAAAGGAAGTTAGGCAGGAAGGATGGAGTGACCCAAATGCCTAGGTGACTGATCTTAGAAATGGCAATTGAGCCGGGC